GGGGGGGGTTGCTTAGACTCCTGCTGGTGGATCACGTGCTCCTCCAGCAGAGGGCGCTGCTTGCTCAGAGTCTCTATTCTGATCCTGGTTCTGCAGAACTTCATCCCCTCTGACCATCAGAACCTCGAGTCCAAACGGGTCAGGAGGTCAGCAGAACATGGAGACCAGAACCTCTCTGGGTCAGGAAGGAAAGGGTGTAAAACCGGATCAGAACCGGTTCTGTCATGGTTCTGACCGTCTGAACACCAAAGGTCCAAACTGAAAACGGTTCCATCCACCAACTAATGAGGGCTCTGATCAAACCGGGCCTCAGGTAGAACCGGACTCAGAGGATGACCTGGGCAGGTTTATATGACCCAGAAACGGTTCTGTGACCCGCAAACAGTTCTGAGACCCAGGAACGGTTCTGTGACCCGCCAACGGTTCTGTGACCCGGAAACTGTTCTGAGATGGAAATCTCCAACCAACCTGTAAAACATTCAGAACCAGAACCAAAAGAAGGCTTCAGGTCAGCTGTTCTACAGGACTGTGTTCCTGGCTTCATTTGCACCCGAACCGGGTCACAAGTCCTGGTTCTGTTTATCCCCAGGCATAGAGGAGTGAGAAATAATCCGGGTCAGAATCAAAATAATGTTTCTCGTTGAAAACAAGGCACCATAGAACGGGCCCACCCAGAACTGGGAACAGTTGGTGACCCGGTCCCTTGGTTCTGATGAGGCTGTGACCCGGTTGGGTCAGACTAGGTACAGGTATCCTGTTCCTCATCCCATTTTCCTCCTTAGCTGATCAGTCAGAACCAGTTAGAACCAGTCAGAACCTGTCGGTTGGGTCCAGCTGAGGATGCACAACATTCCAGACCTTCAGGTCCAGAAACATGAGACCCAGTTAGTTCTACTGGGAGAACTTTGGTTCTGGTTGAAAGGATTAGAGTTCATCAGCACCTTCATGTAGAGGAGAGAAGCGGGCCGAACCGGACCGGGCCGGACTGGACCGGACCATTCAAGACATAAACCCGTAATATTAACATAGCCACTACAGGCTATGGCAAGCCAATTATATATTAGTTTTACTGAAACTTAATTCTTAAAAGTATATATATATACATATACGTATATATATGTATATTTTTACTTTCTGATATTCAGTTTGTGCTGTACAAAATGTAATTTAGAAAATGTTATTACAGTTCAGTCTATGACTGATTTTAATCAGGAGGATTTATTTTATTGATCTACAAATGGAACAACAGAGAGTGCTTTGAATAAATGTGAAAACGGCCTGCCATAGAGCACTTCATATAGGCTAAACCTACATTAACTCCAGCAACAATCTTCCTTTCCTTTGCAGCCATTTCTGTCTTTTAAGCATTTTTTTTTTCTTTTCATTAAATCTCTAGTTCCACTGGTGTTAAACAGTCACTTCCTGTTTCCTGTTGTCATGGTGACTCGTCGATTCGAGGCTCCGCTGATGATGGCGTTTCATACCGTCTCTTAACTCCGAGTAGATCTACTTAGAGCCGATTGATCGCAGCTTTTAGGAAACTGAAAACTCAGAGTTCCTGACTTTAATCTAGATTAATTTAGAGTCACAGATTTTAATCGGACTTTGTTAAACCTGCTTGGTGAAGCGGACCCTGATGTTCCTGATGGGAAGCAGAGTAAAGATGGTGGAACGTCTCAGGCCTCCTGATTAAAGCTTTATTTCATTTTCTAGAAGTTTTTCTAGAAGAATCAGCAGGAAAAACACAGAAATATTGAACAGAAAAACCTGCAGATTCTGCCGATTAGTTTAAAACCATCAAAGTTGTGATTTAATTTCAATCGTTGCTTAAAAAGTTCAGAACCAAATACAGAGTCCAGATGTGAGATGTTTCCAGAAGCTTTTTATTTCCCTCAGACTCCACTTCCTGTTTCCAGGTTAAAACCAGTGAGCAGCAGCCTGGCCTCCAAACACCTCCCCCATGTGTCCTACTGGGAACCAGCAGGTGATGCAGACCAGTAAGGAGACCAGTAGCAGGTTCTGCTGTGGGAGAGGAACCCCTGCAGACATCTGCTCAGCTTCTCAATGGTTCTTCCTGAGCTGCTCTATAAATTAATTGGTTAATTAGTTGTTAGTAAAAAACTAAAGAAAGAAAAGATCCAGATCAGTCCGTCCCCATGGCGATCTCTCTCTCTCTCTCTCTCCAGGGAGAACTGATCTGGTTCTGCCCCCCCCCCCTGTCTCCATCCAGGCCCGGTGCTGGAGAACGGGCGGACCTTTAGCTCCTCCTCCCTCAGAGCTTGGCCTTGGCCTGGAAGAAGCTCATGACGGCGTTGAAGCACTCCTCTGACATCCAGCGCTCCATCAGGCGCTCCACCTCGGCGTCGTTGACGGCGTAGAGGCGCTGCTTCTCCACGGAGCGGATCAGCTGTTTGGACAGAGCCAGGGACTGATGGAGACACGGACAGATTAACCCTTAAAGTCACGTCGTCATTTCAAACGTTAGCAAAAAGGAAAGGGACTGAGAGGGAGCTGTAACACCCAGAACGGCCACCAGAGGGACAGATGGGATTAAATCAGCGCTGAGATTCATCTGATGGGATCAGAGGGACGAGCTGAACGTTCAGAGGCTGAATGTTTCAATCAGCCATGTTGCTCTGAAGAAAGTGGAAGAAAAGAACATTTTACCCTCCGAGGGGTTTAGAGAAATATTATGGAGTATTTCCCTGACAGCTAACGGCTACGCTAAAGCTAAAGCTAAAGCAGAGATGAAGCAGCAGAAGCTGCTGAACGCGCTAGCGCTCTGAACGTAGCATTAGGATCATGGCGGCCGCCCCCTGCTGGCCGGTCTAGGTGTGTCAGCTATTTAAAGCTCAATGACTCTCAGTCAGCTGGTCACATGGACCCGGTCTCCAAGGTTACAGGCCGCTGTGGGCGTGTTCAGTGCGTTTACGTTGGGAGGCAGCTGGGCGTAGGCCTTCAGGCGGGTCCAAACCTCGGACTGGAAGCTGGCGTCGGGGAAAACCTCGGTGATCAGACCCAGCTGGCAGGCCTGAGTCGCCGTCAGCTTCTTATTGAACAGCAGCATCTCGCCGGCCTGCAATGACGGACAAGTTAGAGCGGCTCTGATAACCGGGCCGCGGCCTCGGGGCGGTTCTGGTCATCGCTGCCGGTACCTTGGTGGGGCCCATTATTCTGGGGAAGGTG